GAAGACGGGGACGGCAAAGGGCGAGATGGTGAGACACTGTCATAGATACAACGAACATGAAGTTGAGCAAATTTCAGAGGACGGCGGAAGACCGGGAAGGCCTGGCGTGATCTGGTCCATGAGGTCGCGAAGAGTCGGACTCGACTGTGTGACTGAGCAACAACAACACACTGGGAGATTAGACTCAGGTGGGGGTCGCCGTTTTGGTTTGAAGCAACAGAGCAAAGTTTGTCCAGTGGCACCTTGAAGGCCAACAAAGTTTAATTCTGGGGATAAGCTTTTGTGAGCATGCAAAGCACATGAAAGCTGATACCCAGAATTAAACTTTGTTGGTCTTAAAGGTACCCCTGGACTCAAACTTTGATCTATGAGGCCAGTTAGCAAACAAACCTCAACAGCTGTCTACAGACCGCAGTCAAAATCGAGGTGGAGGAGTGAGTCTGTGTGTTCTCTGCTGCCCCCTGCTGGCTCCGACTCCCCCCTGCCCGCCACTCCGGTCCCTTGCTAATGCAATCTCTTTACCTTCTGCCTGGCACAGGCCCGGCATCTCCCTGACGGTGTCGTCTGAGTCCTGAGCCTCTTCCTCATCCTCCTCTTCGTCTTCTTCCTCTTCTTCGACATCCTCAGCATAGTCTTCTTCCATCCAGGAACTGTTGGATTCCAAATGGCTCTGTGCTAGGCGCTGCATAGCTGCAGGGAATATGTAAAGTCAGAATTAGAAGGGAAGAAGAGATTGGATTTATGCCCCGCCCTTCACTCAGAGTGGCTTACAATCTACTTTCCCTTCCCCTCCCCACAACAGACACCCTGTGAGGTAGGTGGGGCTGAGAGAGCTCTGACAGAAACTGCCCTTGAGAGAACAGCTCTGACAGAACTATGGCTTTGGGTTTGAAGATGCAGGACCTCCATTTTCCAAGTGTGGCATGTTTCCAGACATTGAAACAACTTAGAAGCAGCTAAGAAAGATTCCCCAAACCTTTAGAACTCCCTGCCTCTCTTGGGGGCCACGGGGAGAGGGCTTCTGGAGTTTTGGCCCCACTGGTGGACCTCCTGAGGGCACCTGTGTTTTGGCCTCTGTGTGACACAGAGTGTTGGACTGGATGGGCCATTGGACTGATCCAGCATGGCGTCTCTTAGGTTCCTATCAGCTATTTCATCCCAATTTCAACTTGTAAAAAAGTTATGTTTCTTTATTTAAGTGAGTGCAACTTACCTGAGAGCGGGGGAGTCCCGGGCCCTGTCCTGGAGCTTTTCGGCGCGTGCGCCACGAAGATGCCACCCGGAAGTGACGTCATTGCATCAGTCATGTTGGGGGTGGGACCACTATGATTCAAGGGGAAACCGTAGAGTTTTCCATCAAATCATAGAGCGTCCCCCCGCAACATTCCCGGCATTTAGGGGGTGGGGTTCCCCCCAGCGGCCTTGATCCGGGCAAACGGGATCATTGAGCAGGGTTTTCCCCGCCCCCCTGGGGGGACTTGGCAAGCCTACTGCCAACCCTCCAATGGGGGCCAGGTCTCCCCTGATTTTGAGGGCCCCAGAACAGCTCCACTGGGAACTACCACCCTCCCACAGCCTGCAGTTCAGCGTCTTAACCACTTGAGCCACCGCAGCTCCATACATATATAAATATATCTGTTAAAACACTGACATGACGGCTGAACAGTTTCCATGAAGTTCCATAAGTGGATTCCGCCATCAGTGGATAGAACATGGAGGGCAGGGTTGCCAAACACTGTGTGTGTGTGTGTCTGTGTGGGTAGATCTCCCAGAATTACAAGGGATCTCCAGGCAACAGAGGTCCGTTCCCCCGGAGAAAATGGCTCCCACCACCCATGCTCCGCTGCCTGCACGCCCTGCTCCTGACAGCACCCTCCAGTCTCTGCACCATGAGAGCCACCACTGCCCTTCCTCAAAGAGGCTGGAGAGTTGGGAGCATGAGTGCAAACAGGTAGTAGCGGAGGAGGTGTGTGAGTAAGGGACGAGGGCAATGGGGCCCCACCAGAAGTCTTGGACCACGGCAACGGTCCCTCCTCATGGTACGCTGACACCAGTCCCGACTCCAGAATACCCAATTTTTCTCCCTCTCCCAAAATACAAGAACTTGAGGGCATCCAATGAAGCTGATGGGCAGTAGGTTCCGGACGGACAAAAGGAAATACTACTTTCCACAGAGAGTGATTCAAATGTGGCATTCGCTGTCAGAGGAATAAACAGCTTTGAAAGGGGATTCGATAGATTCATGGAGGAGAAGTCTATCAATGGCTACTAGCCGTGGTGGCTGAGGGGAACCTCCATGTTCAGAGGCAGTCAGCCTCTGAATCCCAGAGCCAGAAGGCAACATCAGGGGAAGGCCTCGGCCTCTATGCACTGTCGTTGGCCCTGCAGGGGAACTGTTTGACCAGAATGCTCTGGGAATTCTGTGCCGAAACGTAACTGCTAGTCACACGGGGGCCCAGCTGGGATCGGGACCACGGTAGCTGAAGCCTCCCCCTCCCCCGCACCACTATCCTGACCTGAAACAGCCCCAGGGAGAATGCTGTTTGCCTCCCGGAAGGAGCTTCCATGTCCTCCTGGCCCCTGTGTGAGGCGGGATGCTGGACTAGATGGACCGCTGGTCTGATCCAGCAGGGCTCTCCTGATGTTCTTATGAAGGCCTCGGCCTCTCTGCCCTGTTGTTGGCCCTTCAGGGGAACTGGTTGGCCCCTGTGTGAGACGGGAGGCTGGACGAGATGGACCCTTGATCTGAATCCAGCAGGCCTCTTGTTATGTTCTTAAATTGCAGAACCCAAGTAAATCTTTAAAACACCAAGCCCTGCCCTAATACATGTCTGACTGAAAGGAGAGCCTGAAAAAAAGAAGCCAGCCAGCAATAAAACAGCTCAGACTAAAAAGGTAGCATTTTAAAAAAAAATGTACATATCTCCGGAGGACGGCGGAAGACAGGAGGGCCTGGTGTGATGTGGTCCATGGTGTTGTGAAGAGACAAACTTGACCACGACTGAACAACAACACAGATCTCTGACAAGGGCAAAATCAAAAAGGCCCAGGCTTTACCACTGCTTGCAATCAGGAGTTGCCCTCAGGAAGATCAGTTTTGTTTAGCTGCTTCCTTACTCTCTCCCCTCCTCCACTTTATTCTCACAAGCAGGAGTCATTTCCTCCAGGAGCGCACAGGAGCGGAACTCCGGCAGTAAAGAGCCCAGGGGGTGGGCACATGCAACAAGCCTCACCCCCTGCTCCCAGCAGCCCTCAGTCAGAGCAAGAAGCAGCCAGGTAAGTTGCAGAGCTCCCCCCGGCCCCCCAGTCCAAAGCATTCCAGTGGCACCTTTAAGACCAAGTTTTATTCAGGTAGAAGCTCTCCCTCCTCTGTGAGGACAGATCTGCACGTTCTACTCCCCCCCCCAATAGATAGCACTCCAAAACAGTCCAGTGGAGCCTGAGCGGTGGGTGTTGCCTTCTGACACACTTCCCATGGTGTCAGGGGGTGTGGCATATGCAAATAAGTTATGCTAATGAGCTCCTGCACCTCTTTTTCTACTAAATGACCCCTGTGAGGTAGTTCAGGAACACTGTTAATCTTTTAAGGTGCTCCTGGACTCTTGGTCTTTTCTACTGCTATAGACAGACTAACACGGGTGCCCATCTTGGCCTGTCTCCACACCTGCTTGTGCATCTTTCTTCCACTTGCAAGCTCTCCCACCACCCATGCTCCGCTGCCTGCACGCCCTGCTCCTGACAGCACCCTCCAGTCTCTGCACCATGAGAGCCACCACTGCCCTTCCTCAAAGAGGCTGGAGAGTTGGGAGCATGAGTGCAAACAGGTAGTAGCGGAGGAGGTGTGTGAGTAAGGGACGAGGGCAATGGGGCCCCACCAGAAGTCTTGGCCCACAGCTGACGCCAGTCCCGACTCCAGAATGCCCAATTTTCCTCTCTCTCCCAAAATACTAGAACTGGAGGGAATCCAGTGAAACTGATGGGAGAAGGGGGTTCAGGATGGACAGAAGGAAATGCGACTTGACACAGAGAGTGATTCACATCTGGAATTCGCTGCCAGAGGATGTCACGATGACCACAGGAATAGAGAGCTTTACATGGGGATTTGATGGATTCATGGAGGAGAAGTCTATCAATGGCTACTGGCCGTGGTGGCTGAGGGGAACCTCCATGTTCAGAGGCAGTCAGCCTCTGAATCCCAGAGCCAGAAGGCAACATCAGGGGAAGGCCTCGGCCTCTATGCCCTGTCGTTGGCCCTGCAAGGGAACTGTTTGGCTACTGTGTGGGACAGGATGCTGGACTAGATGGACCGCTGGTCAGATCCAGTAGGGCTCTTCTTATGCTCTTATCAGGGGAAGGCCCCGGCCTCTCTGCCCTGTTGTTGGCCCTGCAGAGGAACTGGTTGGCCCCTGTGTGAGGCGGGATGCTGGACTAGATGGACCCTCACTGGTCTGACCCAGCAGGGCTCTTCCTATGTTCTTATGAAGGCCTCGGCCTCTCTGCCCTGTTGTTGGCCCTTCAGGGGAACTGGTTGGCCCCTGTGTGAGGCATGATGCAGGACTAGATGGACCGCTGGTCTGATCCAGCAGGGCTCTTCCTATGTTCTTATGAAGGCCTCGGCCTCTCTGCCCTGTTGTTGGCCCTTCAGGGGAACTGGTTGGCCCCTATGTGAGACGGGAGGCTGGACGAGATGGACCCTTGATCTGAATCCAGCAGGCCTCTTGTTATGTTCTTAAATTGCAGAACCCAAGTAAATCTTTAAAACACCAAGCCCTGCCCTAATACATGTCTGACTGAAAGGAGAGCCTGAAAAAGAGAAGCCAGCCAGCAATAAAACAGCTCAGACTAAAAAGGTCGCATTTAAAAAAAATGTACATATCTCCGGAGGACGGCGGAAGACAGGAGGGCCTGGTGTGATGTGGTCCATGGTGTTGTGAAGAGACAAACTTGACCACGACTGAACAACAACACAGATCTCTGACAAGGGCATAATCAAAAAGGCCCAGGCTTTACCACTGCTTGCAATCAGGAGTTGCCCTCAGGAAGATCAGTTTTGTTTAGCTGCTTCCTTACTCTCTCCCCTCCTCCACTTTATTCTCACAAGCAGGAGTCATTTCCTCCAGGAGCGCACAGGAGCGGAACTCCGGCAGTAAAGAGCCCAGGGGGTGGGCACATGCAACAAGCCTCACCCCCTGCTCCCAGCAGCCCTCAGTCAGAGTCCCCACTCCTCCACTTGCACCTGCTGGATGACCTTGGGCAAGCCATAGTTCTGGCACAGCTGTCCTTGAAAAAGAGCAGTTTCTGTCAGAGCTCTCTCAGCCGCACCTACCTCACAGGGTGTCTGTTGTGGGGAGGGGAAGGGAAAGGAGTTTGTAAGCCACTCTGAGACTCCTTTGGTAGTGAAGGGCAGGTTATAAATCCAATCTCCTCCTCCTCCTCCTTTCCAACCCTTCACCAAGCCAATTCCTCCTTCTCTCTCTCTCTCTCTCTCTCTCCCTCCACACTGAAACCAAAGAGAATGATGCCACAGAAATAAACAGCAAAAAAACACAGAACAGCCGTTTCAACTTATCTTTACCCATTACAAAATTTATCGCTGCCACCACCCCTCAAAAACTCCAGCCTCTCAATTCCCGCTCCGTCTTGTCTCACCTCCCAAATGGAAGCCGACATTGAGAATTATCAGCCGGTCA